GGGAGAATTATACAAAAGGTAAAAAAAGAGAGAATTATACAAAAATTAAAAAAATGTATATTTGGAAAAAAAAGTAATTTGGGGGGGAAGCTGCCATCTTTATCGAATAAATTTGTAAAAATTAAAAAAAGGTAAAATTACAAGAATATTAAGCTTTTTTTACAACTTGGAATTTTGTTTAAAAAAAAACATTTTATAATATCGCCAAAATTATTGCATTACTATAAGGCAAAACAAATTGCCATTTCATTAGGGTGAAAAAAAAATCTGGACTTTGTAGGGAAGTCAATTTTATAGGAATACATTTAAATACCAAAACTGAAAAAATTGTGCACCAACATTAAGTCAGGATTTTGTGAAGCTGCACTTCAACGTTCATCAACATGGGAAATTCATGTTTGGTCATATGAACAACATCCCAACGAAACCTCTTTTGGGTTTTGTTCAACTACCAATCATTGTAAAACCAAAAAAACTAAATGCAATGACTCACGCTTGCTCTCCATCCGTCCCTTAGTTGGAAATCGACAACGGCGACGAGCTGACCAATGAATTCATGTATGACGAGGTGCATCCCAAGCAGCACGCGCACAAGCAGGCCTTCGCCAAGCCAAGAGGTCCTCAAGGGAAGCGGGGCGGCCGTCGCATCACCCGACCCCCCGCCGACGGCCAGGAGGACGATTAAAACAAGACTTTGGGCACCGACAACCTGTGCACGTTCCATAGTGGAACATTCCTGAGATTGAGGTGATCACATTTGCTTGTTTTTAACACGGAACGCAGAAAAAAAAAGGAAAAAAAAAAGGATGACGACCTCACATTACCCCCCTCCCCCGAGCCAGCTATGCACGCAGAGGACAACTAAGCAATGGCATATTTCAGCAGTTTCCCATTTGTAGCTTGCCAAATGGAAGCCTATTAATCTCTCTGATTACATTCCCGATGAGTTGAGCCCCTTTTTGCCAGATTGTAGTGTGACTAATGTGAACTCGCGCCAATATGACAACATTCTCCCCTCACTTTTTAGATTGTAGTGTGACTAATGTGAACTCGCGCCAATAAGACAACATTCTCCCCTCAAATTTTTATTTTGGGGGGATCAGACCCCCAGATTCCTCGCAAACTTTCATTCCTTAAAGTCCACCCCTTAGTGTGTCTTAACTGTGCACAACCTCGAGGTGCTTCGAAAGCAGAGATGATGTAATGATCCAGATTGTGTCTCCTGATTAATTTTAACAGTGCGTTTTATATTGCAAATTTTTTTTTTTTGGTTCGTTATAACTGGTTTACATGGAGAAAGAAAAAAAAATCATCTGCTGAGAAACTTATTTTTCTATGCAAGTGCTGTAATTGTACATATTGTAGCCACGTGTCTGTGTGTGTGAGTGTGTGTGTACGTGTGTGTTGTCTGGTGATGATGTCGCTGAGGGGCTTCCACTAAAATGTCATCCATCGAAAGTCATGTTCGACGCGATCAGAATCCCAGAGAGAGAGAATGGGGAGGGGGGGGGGAAGAGCTTGCTACGGAATAGGAAAGGGAATATTTGTGTCGATCAAAATGTTGTCATGGTCTCTCGTTTTACTGATGACTTAACATTAGGCCAACTACCAAGCTCACCTCGTGTTCAAAACCGGGCATGGAAATCCCGTTCGTATTCATCGTGTCGTTAGAATTAGAGAAGGAAAATGATGTTTGGTCTTACTTGTTTTCCTACAGATCTTTTTTTCTTTTAAAGAAGAATAAAAATATTGAAATTGCACATTCTCCGTGTGTATTAAAACACTTTGTATGTGTCAAGCAGTGCACAAGGTTCAGACTTGGGAGGTGAAAGGGAATTTTCGGCGAGGTTTTAACCCCTGGAAATGGTCAACCACGTGCATTTCACAGCCGTTTTGTGAGTATGCAAAAGCACCGCAAGATAATTTATGTGCAAGATATAAAAGAATTCAAAGTAATTTTCGTGGCTTGGGCTGTAACTGGGCATAAAAGTGATACAAGTCGACACTTTGGAAAACATTTTAATTTGTACATTTTAATGGAGATGCTTTGATCAGAGGGCAGCCCGGTGGTCCAGTGGTTACCGCGGTGACCTCACAGTGCAGAGGTTCGATCCTGGCTCCTGCCTTCCTGTGTGGAGTTTGCATGTTCTCCCTGGGCCTATGTGGGTTTTCTCCGGGTACTCCGGTTTCCTCCCACATTCCAAAAACATGCATGGCAGGCTGCGTGAACACTCGAAATTGTCCCTCAGTGTGAGCGTGGATGTCTTGTCTCTGTGTGCCCCTGCAATTGCCTGGCAACCGGTTCAGGGTGTCCCCCCGCACCTACTGCTCGAAGACAGTTGGGATAGGGTCCAGCGACCCTTGTGAGGATAAAGTGGATCAAAAAAATGAATGAATGGATGCTCTGCTCGGGTCCATTTCCGTCTGGATTTCCCCCCCATGCGCAAAGACTCAAGAGTATTTCCATTTGCAAATGAGTCAGAAGCCTGACAAGCGCGTGGACTTGGAATATAAATCGCAGATCAGCACTTAACAGTCAGGAAAGACTAACCGGTGGTGCACTGACCTTTTTGCTGGCATACTGGCTCATGTATCCGATTTAGGTGAATGACGTTTGTGTGATTGTACACGGTAAGCATTTCAAAACACTTAAGCCTGTCAATCAGGGTCAACTCTTATGCTATATATTTTTACATTCATAATTATATGTCGTCACCTTTAGTCCTACGCGTGAGACTCCAGTGAAATGTTTTTGACCACTCCATTGAGCTCGGACAGCACCTGTTGACACAAATGGCATTATCTGTTGTGAAATCACGTTCTAACCCTTTCATGCACCCTGTGAACTGATAATATGACAAGCTGTCCACTGTACTAACCGCTGTCCCTGAAAGGGGTTAAAAAAAAAAAAATTAAAAAATGATACGACATCCTTTCTCGCAAATCAACCAAGAGCCCAGAAACCCCAGTTTGAGCAACCCTTAACCTGTGCGATGAGCGGCCGCCTGTTCTTCCTCTCGTGGAGACAGTTGCCGGCCACGGAGTAAACGCTCTGCACTTGACTCATGTCCCAGTCGCTCATGCGCTTGTCCACAAAGGCCTCCAGAGTGAGCTCCTCGTCTTCGTCGTCAATGTCGTGCCTCATGTCCATCTGCCGCAGCGAGGCTTGTGTCATTGTCGGGAGCAAAATCAAGTCAATACTGTAGTAAGAGCTCAAATTTGTATTACCAAAAGCTGCGGCTCACGGCTTTTATCTGCTGGAGAGAGTCCGGACAGTATTTCTAACAGCACCTGTAGACGCAAAAAGAGACAATTTAGCTCATAGGAAGGGAGCCTTACATCGGTGTAACAATAGATGCTGGGGAAAATAAAGACCTGCAAGTCTCCGGTTTTTGGGGTCGTTGATTGAAAATGGAAATGGAGTGCCTTGGATTTGCCAGTGAACATCAAAAAGAAGGCTTCGGAGAAAGTGCTGCGGTTGGATGAACCTAAAGCTTTGCTTTTCGGCATCAAATCAACTTGCCGGTTGGCGGATGAAATAATGTGAGGATGACTCCAGATTTGGCTTTTCAGCAGCTCCTATATTTTGTTGTTCTACTTCTTCCTTTCATAACTTTGCTGCTGTGAATTGGGAATTTCTCCATTGCGAGACTAATAAAGGTTTTCTTATCTTATAGTCAGTGTCCAGACCTGAACCGAAAACCTTTGGTGGGAGCTACACTTTGAACTTCCTTGTGTCATGCAAGAAACTTTTTTTTTGAAAGGTTTTACAGTTTACAGAGTTTCTGTACAACTACAAGAAAAAAATCTCATCACTGAGCTTCCGACAAGTACTATCTTATGTTTTTGTATTGGGATCAAATACTTATGTCCTTATATACCAAAGTATGGACTGAATAATGCACAATGAGAACATGGGGGGCACTAAAACAGAGCCCTGAGGTACCCCTGGTTACTGAGAGACATTTGTCAAATACATCATCAAACTTTAAGAAACCATGCTCTGTGTTAGCGCGTGAATCTACAGCTCACCACTCCAAAGCTGAAGACATCCGATTTCGGCGTGATCTCCCCCCTCAGTGCCTCGGGTGCCATGTAAGCACAGGTGCCGACGATCCTTTCTGTTATCACAGTCGACGTGGTACCCTTGGCCGAGGCTCTCGTCAGGCCAAAGTCTGAGATTTTGGCCACCAAGTTTTCATCTAACAGGATATTTGCGCTGCGGAAGAAAACGAGAACATGAGTTTGCACATGCTTGACGGAATCGGTGACTCACGTGTTTTGAGCTCACATTTAAAGACAAGTTTGACATTTTGGGTTTGATCTGCTCACTTCAGCGAGAGGAGACTTTTCACCCGCCTTCAAATACGATACAGCCGGAAGCCAAATGACTGAAAACCAGCTAGCGAGCTCGCGAGTCAACATTAAAGGTGAAACTCCAAACTTGAGCGCCGCTTCTGTCCTACGATTTCAAAACCAGCATGTGTCGAGAGACCGTATACCAAATTAGGAGACTAAATCTGAAGACTAAGACTTCCCGCGCAAAAGTTTTTTTTTTTTTGGGTTTGTTTGTTTACTTGAGTTGTATATTCCATTTATGAATGTTATATTTAGCGCCTAACCAATATGGATTGCTCAACTAATCATAGTTTGTTAAAAATAAATAAATGAATACGATTTGCTTTGTTTTGAATGACAGGTCCATAAAATGACAACATTTATGGATTTAAGGATACAATGTGGTGGTATACATTTATTTGGAATAAACAATGAGACCAGTTTTACTTAAGTGCTGTAAATGGTTAGCGTACATAGAGGTAAAAACAATGGGCAAAATAATCGAAATTTGCCGATTGAAGGGTGTCCCACAAGGGATCAGGTTGGGCCTTTTACATTTCACAGGATTTATAAAAGTAAATAAAAACCTCAAGAGTAGATCACGTTTATCTACCTTTTCACATCTCTGTGGACATGATGGTTGCTATGCAAATACTCCAAACCTCTTGCTGTGCCGTCAGCTATCAAGCACCTCTGTCGCCAGGACAGTGGAGGACTACTTTCCTATTACAAAAAAAAAAAAAAAAAAAGTCAAAATTCAAGAATAAGACGAGAGTGTGCAGAAGTAAACAGCACTCACAAAGCAAGCTAGTCTGTCCAGCAAGGATCCATTAGCCATGAAGGCATACACCAAACACGGGTATTGTCCATCACTGGAGTAGCCCACCATGTCCACCAGATTTTCATGTTTTAATCTGCCCAAAAAAAAAAAAAAAAATTAAGTTAGTATGGATTGTTTTTCTAGAGCCAGGAACTCTATTACATACTCACAATGTCAGCGTTTGAACTTCTTGGTTGAACTGAACTTGCAGCTCATCGGGCGAGATGTCGTCGATCTGCACAAAACCGATTTGTCACTATCGTTTGATGACGATCTGCACCAGCAGCAAGGTGATTTATTTATTTGTTTTAGTTTTAGTTTTAACTCACCAGGTTGAGTTTTTTCACAGCCACAGGTTTGTCCCGCAGAAAACCTTTAAAGACGGTCCCGAAGCCTCCTTCCCCGAGCCGGCAGCCGCCGTCGGACGTGGCACGCTCATCAAAGTTTCCGGTGATTTCCATGAGCTCGTTGTAGGAGAAATTAGTGAAACCTGACACATCATCGCGAAAAAGAAGTACTGCCTGTTAATGTGTTGACAGTTTGAGGATCATCACGCCGTGATTTCTGCCCCATCCGTCCATTTTCTCTTGCGCTGGTCCAACTGACTTTGGGTGCCAGGCAGTGTCCAACCTGCGCTCGCGCCAATGCCGTTTTACTGCCCTCTGCTGCTGCCTTCCTGTAATTAGCCAGTGCCGCTCCCCAGAATATAACTTGGGGAGCGGTATGATGCACTGCAGGAATTAAACTTCAAAATCTGTTGACCTCACAGTGCAGAGGTACCGGGTTCGATCCCGGCTCCGGCCTTCCTGTGTGGAGTTTGCATGTTCTTCCCATGCCTGCGTGGGTTTTCTCCGGGTACTCCGGTTTCCTCCCACATTCCAAAAACACCCATGGCTGGCTGATTGAACACTCCAAATTGTCCCTCGGTGTGAGTGTGAGCGCAGATGATTGATCGTCTCTGTGTGCCCTGCGATTGGCTGGCAACCGGTTCAGGGTGTCCCCCGCCTACTGCCCGAAGACGGCTGGGATAGGCTCCAGCACCCCCCGCGACCCTTTTGAGGATAAAGCCGATCGGAAAATGGATGGATGGATGGAAAAATGAAGTAAATGTTCAACCTTGTGTCTGGTCTGGGTCACCATTCTGCAGCTGGACGGGAGTCTGCCGTTCATGAGCAACGGGCGCTAACGTTGTCCTCTTTGTCTCAGCCACCGTCCAGGTCGGCAAAGTTGGAGGTGCGCGGCTGGTTTCTGCTGCACGACAGACATCCGGTGTCTCTGTAGAGAACGCCTCTTCTGAGCGGGGGAAGAATCACAGATGTTGTTTTGAAAATGTCACTAACGATAAAAAAAACACATGAGGATGATCGAAACTGCCTTTACATGGGATGCCGTATCATGTGATTTGTTTCCTCCATTTTCGTATCAATTTTCAAATAATTCAGCTTCTTAACAGCACAAACATTTGTAGTTTTGTGGGAGCCATATGGAGGGCTAATTAAAACCAAAAACACTAAAGATAGTTGAGGCGAGCTACGTGACGCACGGAGCAAATGAAGAAAAAGCAAAACTGAGCATCCCGTGTGGAGGCCAGGAATCATAGTTCACGAACGCAAGCGATATTTGGCCCCCAAAAAATTGTAATCCGAGGTTCCACCTGAACTGCTTCCTCTTTTTCCTTCACCGGAGCAGTCGAGGGTCCGAAACGGACTCATACTATAACTCACGTCATTACATGCAAGTCAACGCAAAAAAAAAAAAAAAGAAAATAAATTGTCCCCAAATTGCTCGGAAGTTGAGGCACTCTGTACATGTTTGGAGTGATACCCTCCTCGTCGCATGAGATAATTGCGTTTACAGCATTGATCTGGCTGAAAGAGGTTTGTACACCCACACCACCGCCAAAAAACAAAACCAGTAAGGTCAAGCGTCAACCACCATTCAGTTGTTTCTGAAACTGTACCTGTTACTGTACCACAGGTGTTAGACAAAAACAGTTTCCACTAAAAAGATGTGATACATGAAATGAGTAAAATGGCTCGATGCCATTCCAACCGCCAGGCTCGATTGAGAATAAAGGTAATAGGACGTACCAGGTAACAGCACACTGGCGGCCGCCAGCAACTTGTGACTCTTGAGAATGTCCGCCAATTCTCCCACTGTGGAGTTCAACATGCCCCAGTCACGCAGCAGCTCCACTGTGGGGCTCTTCCCCTGAGCAACAAGGCCCTCAAAACGCCTGCAAGCACAGTTGATAAACTGAAGGCCACCCGAGCATATGTCCATAAATCTCAAAGATGAAACCATACAAGTCTTAAGTACACAGGGACGTGTCGTGACACTGTGAATGGCTCATTAAACCAGTTCTGGTTCTTTTCCTTTTCAGCGCTGACATTATTTGGACAAATGTGCCAATTCTGAATAGATAACACTATGATTGCTAAAAAAAAAAAAAAAAATCGCAATCACTTTTTAAAAACAGATTATAAAGTAAAGAGTTGTCTATTCAGTTCTATTTTACAACTAAAATGCCCTGTGTTACAGATTACATTTAAGTGAAATGTGTACCTTATAAGGCCACCCGAGCATATGTCCATAAATCTCAAAGATGAAACCATACAAGTCTTAAGTACACAGGGACGTGTCGTGACACTGTGAATGGCTCATTAAACCAGTTCTGGTTCTTTTCCTTTTCAGCACTGACATTATTTGGACAAATTCTGAATAGATAACACTATGATTGCAAAAAAAAATAAAAAAATAGCAATCACTTTTTAAAAACAGAGTATAAAGTAAAGAGTCGCTGTCTATTCAGTTCTATTTTATAACTAAAATGCCCCGTGTTACAGATTGCATTTGAGTGAAATGTGTACCTTGAAAAAAGCGGTACCGCGGCATCCCTGGTTTGTTTATATATTGTTACATTTTGGCTATTTTGTATATATTTATTTTGCTTCTTGCATGAATCGATGTGTATAGGGATACAGATAGGGTTGGGGAGGTTTCAGTATATTATGAAGGGCTCACAGTATGACGGATGTTATTCAAAATTGAAGATATATCGATCGATCGATTCATAGGGAGGCAACAGCATACCTGACATGATGCTGAGTGTAGCGCAACTCGCCGTTGGACTTCCGGATGGAAATGATGACGTCCTTCCACCTGTCCTGTGGGTCTAAAAAGTCGGACACCAGACGAAGTACACTGTAGGGGAGTTTACGAATATAAGTCGAACGAGTCACCGTGTCGTTCATTGTGTCACAAAACACGAGCTGCGTGAGTATTTACGCCTCTCTACGACGATATGTTTTACAAATGTGGTGGACTGGTCTGTGTGTTTTTTCCAATGTTGCGCAACTTCCTCAAACAAGTGAGGTGCCTCCTCTTCCTTCGTGTTTCTTCAACACGGAAATAAAACCAACACGGCCATGAAATACGTTCATTCTTCTCTTTTTTTTGCACACCCAGCATTAGAATAGGAGAACATTAAGAACACTATTCTGCTGTTGGTGTTTTTGTGGAGTTAAGATTTTTTTTCAGATTGTTTGAAAGTCACTGTGTCACAGTGACATCTAGTGGGTGCAATTGGGACTACAGTTGATCCACCCAGAGGGATCGCCAGTAAAACTCAATCGTCCCCCAAGTCAATATGGAAGGTTAGAAATTAAGCAAAAAAAAAAAAAAAACAAACTGATTGCCAAAACGCATAAAAGATGAAAAACCAAAGAAAATAACACATGAAACGATTTAATAATGATGTGAAAAACATTCCTTTCACCCCCATTTTGTAAGTTTTAACATTGCAGTGGGTGACACAGTACTCAATAAAAAAAAGCTCATTTGAAAGGCATTAGTGAGTCTTTCAACTCGAAGTGACTGAATTCTCCCGCTTTTAATAGTCTTTTTTTTTACATCCTCACAATGCACATGGTGAAAATTAAACTACATGAAAAGAAGACATCACTACATCATCTGCAATTAAGATATATTGCACGAACAAGCGTAATTATGGTCATTAGTGCGCTTTTGTTGTGTGTATCCTTATTTTTCTTTTGTACCCATCAACCTGGCTTTATGAGCTCATTCAAACGCTCAGCTGGGAGTCATGAAAGATGTGAGCGGGTCTGTGTGTGTATATGTGGGACTTGATGAAAGCGATTCTGTGCACTTACTGTAATATTTGTTTCTGGGAAAGCAAAAAAAAAAAGAAAAAACGGGCCTAAGAGTGGTTCTCAAATGTTTTACACCAAATAAGTACCACCTAAGAATGCATTTGCTCTTAAGGTACCACCAAATGACCAACAAAAAATGTAATCACATGGAAAAACAAGACAGTTAGCCTCATATGTTTATATATTAGTGTATTAGCTAATTTGAACCTTGAATGAAAGAAACCGATTTCCTTTTCAAAGGTGATAAAGACGCGGTTGTCTGTTGTCCTGTGTTACAGAGGGAGGAGACATCGAACGAGAGGAGACAGAAATCAAAAAGTCTGTTGCGGGTTGAAAACAAAGCCAGGTTGCAGGAGAAGTGCCAGGCTCGCTTGAATGAGCTTGGAAGAGCTCAGCCTGAGGAGGAAGTGATCAGAGTAAGTTATGTGACACCCTTAGAGACGATTATACATGAGCTCGTGAGGACCAGTCTGGTCATCGTGATTGGCAGTCACCGATTTCTAACATTCAGTTATTCATTCATACAGTCCCACTAATAGTTCGGTTACCTTTATTTGTCTCACAATGGAGAAATTCGCAAATGTCTTTTCCAGATGTCTGACACTGATACCTTTTACCTGTTTTAATTGGAATGGGGTGCCTGAATTTGGTTCGATTAACACTATGTGTGTAAGCCTCTTAAGATAATGCCTTGCAGTATTCAGCAGCAGAAGCACATTTTACCATTGCTGTGATTAATTAGCGGTCTTGCATGTTGCAATGCAAAGGAGCCAAACTGATGGGACTAGCTTTTTGGTTTGACAGAGGGGAGCAACACAAAACTGGTCTTCGTCCAGGAACCGAAACACTAGCCTGCATTTGGTTTCATCAATCTTAAATTGCTGTCGTTTCAGACGGGCAGCACAGAAAACAGCCGACGTACGTAGACAGTTAGCTTGTCTGCCTCACAAGTCCAGAGCTGCCGCCTTTGAAACTCAGGTCAGGCCCAAAACGTATTTTTGATTCTGACTTCAAATATATCTTGACTTTTATTTTGCTAGCACATCAGGTTTTTGATTTATGGATGATTTTTTTAAGCATTGAAAAGTGGATAAAGCCCAATACTAAAAGCACACTGTAGGTCCTCTTGTCACCCATAGGGGGCAGCAGCCCCTTACCCCTCGCTCTTTGAGAGCAGCAGAACATACGAAACGAGGGTAAATATACAATACAATACATCTTTATTTATATGAGTGATTTCACAATTGTTAAATTCCACAGGCAGTTGGATTTTATTTTACTTGATGTGTTGTTCAAAGAAAGTACAAGAATGATCTGTGGGCGGTTCACAAATAGCTGTGGTCGGTTTATTATGAGGCACTACATCTAGAAACTGTGGGTGTAATATTTTTCCCATTTGGTCGTAGCACACCAGTGAAGAACTCAATTTTTTGTTTTGTTTTGCTTTTTGCCATTTGAAATTGTAATTGCAGGTGACCGGTGTGGTAAAATCGCAGACATAACGGTCAATTAAAAATGCCAAGTCATAACACTAAGAGCAATTTCAACTAAAATGTTTTTGGACTTATGAAGTTTTAATTAGTTTATAGAGCAAGTTTGTTAGTTTGGATTTATTTTTATTATTTTTTTAATGCTTTCGTTTAGTTTTATTTTTGATTAGTTTTAGTATTAGTTTTATTTATTTTTTTAACATATGGGGTATTTGTCCAGTGCAGTGTTGTGTAAGAAAGTCAAGTCAACTCCAATTCTCAAACAACTGAAATTCCTTCTTGTGACACTACGACTGTCGAGCAATACTGAAATAAATATGTTCAAAATGAACTTTGAAAGCTCATAAACGATACTAATGGCCAACAACTAAAAACAAAGGACATTTCCGTTATAATCAAATCGTTGGTTTTCGTTTGCTGGATTAATGCAAGATGTGGTTTCAGTTTGGGGATGTTTTTCAAAAGCCCATTTTTTTGTTTTTATTTTATTTGGTGAATGAGAATGCTTTGGAGAATCTCTGTCGCCGACATGTTTGATTGCAGTCAGTGAGCGGGGACGATCTTAGCCAGCAGCCTCTCGGATCCCCGCACAGGCTCTCCTTTAGTTTTAGTCTGTGTCCTCTCTTTGTGTTTAACGACCTCAGCCAGAGCAATCAATAACTTCCTTGACAGCAGCACCATTTTGTCTGTGGTCCAATCAACTCGAACACACTACAGTATATGCAGAGCCTCCAAACATAGTTTCCCCGAACAGAACTTCAGGGGTTACAGTCTTTCCATTTTGTCGACATGCTAACCGCGCAAGGGTTAATCGCTAGGCGTGTGGGTGTGAGTTGCTGACTGCAATTTGTTCGTGATTATCATGTTCAAGCATGTCAGGCGGCATCGCTCAGTGTGCGGCTGGCCTTGGGTTCATTGAGGACTTCAAATGGTCCCGAGGCACGACGGGTTGATCGTCTGCGTACCCTGACTGCTGACCGGTTCAAGGTGTAGCCTGCCTCTTGCCCCAAGTCAGCCGGGATAGGCTCCAGCTCACTCAATCACCGACCCTAACGAAAAAAAACAAAAAAAAAACACTTGTTCCTCAGAAACGGGGCCTCAGTTGAAGTTAGAAAGAAATTTCAAGATAACGAAAGGTAAAAATACAGTATGGGCTGCTACTCGCAGCTCCGAGTTTACGTGAACGCAACATACTTATAGCTGCTCTGCCATTGGCTATTACCTAGCATCTTCCTGGCATCCCATTGGCTAAGAGGGACTTCTACCGTATTTGTCTCTGTGTGTGGATTGATAAATATGTGTCTATGCAGCGTCCTCGTCATTCGCCCCTCAGGCCAAGAGGTGCTCCGATAGTTTTATGTAAATGTGAATCACCCAGAAAAAAGTTTTCACCACTCGGGCGATCGCTCACTATGCTGATGTTTGCGTTGGACATTTTCGAAGGATTGTTAAATATTTATGGCAACAAAAGCAAACATCCTTGGATCAGTTCTTGACAAAACGGCAGGCAAAAAACACTTCTGAGGGAGAACAAAGAGGGCAAAAAATGATGAGGATGCAGTTAAAAGTAAAATGATCATCATTTTTAATCTTTGTTTTTTTACATGATGCACAACTCTCATTTATTGCGCAATAATGTACTTGTAACACGTGTTTGTTACATATTTGAATGCATTTTTATGCTTTAGGAAACATTTATGTCTGAATTTGGGGGGGGGGGCTTGGAACGAATTAGGGCATTTACATGGAAAACGTGTCTCTACTTACAAAATGTTTGAGTGAAGAACTTTCTTCCAGAACCAATTAATTTTGCAAGTAAGAGGTACCACTGTACTTTCGAAAGCCTTGCATTTAATGTTGTATACAAGCTTACGTCTTTTGTTTGTCTCAATGAACCTCAAAGCATCAGAACAATAGACTGTTCAAGTAACTCAACGCACGGCGAAACGGAGCCAAGAGTTACCCCGTGCAAAATCGTCTTTCTAACCGTGTCCCAGCTGTGTCGGTGAACGGGTCCAAAACACTCAGAGCTCAATCTTTCATTGTGACTGGAAGGCAGCCCGCTTCCTAAATGAGACAGTCGGGGGCCCAAGAAAACGAATGGTCGCCTTGTTGTCAGCGCCATATTCGGATTGTAAATGATTCCATGTTACCTGGATTCTTGTCAGTTTGTATTCCGCACACCAGTAACATTACACGCTTTGTTACACTGGAAAATAGAGGAGGTGGGCGAAGGGGTGGGGGAAGAAAATGAAAGAGCAGATTAAGTTCTGCTGGCTGCTTTTAGTTTGGTGAAAGGATGTGGACGGGTTTGCTAATGAAAGTTCTCCAAAGTCATTTGTTTACATGATAGATTCACTTTTGACTCGTAGAACAGTTGCCTTAATGGGATGCGGCTGGGTGAAAATGCGCATGCCCATCCGTACACTTTTTTTTTTTTTTTTTTTGTTGCCCCCCCCTTCCCTTTTTTTTTTTTGGTTTGTTTTAGAATAAACTCACCCAGTTGACTTTGTGAGAGGCGGGGTGCAGACTGGTTGCCGGCCAACTGGAGGGCACAAACATTCAAGTCTTCAATTAACCTAGCATGTTTTTGGAATGTAGGGCTCTCGGAAAACTGTGAGGCAAACCTCACCAACGGTGAGGCAGGAATGCTTATTCCAGTCTTGCATGCCGCCCCAGTGCAAGTGCATTGGACTTTTACAGTTGTCTTTTCAACCACCACCACATGCACATCTGCATCGGCGTGAAAACTGGCACATCTACATGTTTGCGCCGGGGCGAGTCGAGCTCATCGTGTTTTGGGAATTTGTCCAACCGCGCTATGCTGCTTCGCTGGGTATTCCGGCGGGACGAGGGGGGTTTTCTATTCCACGCCCCCGGCGCACCTGACAATTTGGTGACAAAAAAGTGGACGACATTGCATTCATAAATATGACATCAGCCTGCATCAAATCCTCTGAATCATTGTCAAAATTAATGTATTGAATCCATTGTTATTATTATGATCATATTTAATATATTTTTAAAAGCACTACCCTGACCTTTTCACAACTATTGCGTGGTTTGGGGATAAGATCTAAGTGCCAACTTCACAGTTTACAACTTGCAGTTCCATATAAATGTTCTTTGTGCATGCCGATCTTGTGCACAGACTCCAGTGAGTCCGCCATGTAGACCAGGCACCTCTCCCGTGCTGATTTTAAAGGAAGGGTGCCCAGTTCGATCGGCCGGGAATCAAATGAGCTGTGTTCACTCCCACAACGGCGCAAACACTTGTTTCTAACTGTTACTGTCTCAGAAAATGCCAAAAGAAAGAAAATTGCACCGATTCGCCTTTCGTCCTCATCCTATTTTCCTTGACCCTCGGGTGAAAAAAAAAAATTGTTCTATGAACTGACTTTTTAAAGCAGGCACCACCAGGCGATCTATTCCTTCCCCTTCTTTTTCAGCACTGGGCCATGTAGCAATGACATGCAATACATCATGATCCTTATTATCTGAAGCCTCATTCATGTGTTAATACCGACATCACGTTATTCATACAGTATGTTAAATTTATGTATGGGTCTTTTTTCCCCAGTCACCACATACTTCACCTTTGTGAGGATGGTTTGAGAATGATCCAAGTGGGGGCCCTCTTTCCAATTATTTTTCCTCTTGTGTAAATCTGAATGTGTCATCCTAAACCAAAACAAGATACAAGCTAGGTCACGGGAATAATATCTCAAATAAGGAAGAAAAGTGAATACGTTAACAGGAACAAACTGATGAAGCGCGAGACACACCATCTTAGGTTCTTAGGTGGGTATATTATTTGGAAATATATTCCTCCTCCAACAAAAATGCATTCTGGAGCAGGGCGAGCACTCAAAAATTCCTCTATTTGCGATTTTTATCTAGATCTGCCCCAAAATAGGATGAGGTCT